GCACACTGCAGTTTAATGTTGCAAAGCACCTCTTTTTAACTTCAGTGGATATTATACATGGTTATGCTCAGGATATGTCAGCCCATTTGTACTGGAAATGCCTTTTGGTTAAACTTTCAGCAAGGAATTTGCATTTGCACTGTTGCATTTTTATAAAGCTTTAATGTACATAAAAACCAGCTTCTTGTTTAAGTGAAAATAAATGGAAGGTTGTCTTTTTGCGCTAGTAATGTTGTGGAGTTGTATTTTGTCTCGCATCCATTATCGTCAGTTATATCGTTATCGCAAATTTTCAAATATATATCGTGATAAATATTTTTGGCCATATCGCCCTGCTCTAGTAAACACTACACTTCTATAAATATTAAACACTTAAGGAACGACAGTTAAGTGATAGTTTTTTTTTTTCCCCCCATTTAATGACCAGGTGTTTGAGACTTACTGTTTTTTGGGGTGTTGGGTGCAGTGGCTGCTTTACGTGGCACTTTAGCCTCATCTGATGAACTCTCCTCAGAGCTGCTGTCGCTGGATGATGACTCTGCTGGCTTTGCTGCAACCTTCGCTGATGCTGCTGCCGTCTTGGGAGTTGCTGCCTTGCCGTTGGCAACTGTAGACTTAGTCACGGGGGTCTCCGTCTCTGAATCAGAGCTATCTGAGGAATCAGAGCTGCTCTCCTCTGCTTTTTTTGCCTTTTTGACTGCAGGCGCTGCCTTTGTTGTTCTCGCAGCTGCAGGGGCGGGCTTCTTGGAAGCAACTGGAGCTTGTTTCTTAGCTGCCTCATCCTCTGAGTCTGAGCTGTCAGAGCTGCTTTCTTCTGCAGCAGCAGTCTTAGCTGCAGGAGTAGCAGGCTTTGAAGCGGGCGTAGCAGGCTTAGCTGCTGCTGGCTTGGTCTTAGCTGGCTCTTCATCATCCTCAGAAGAGGACTCTGAGCTACTCTCTTTCGGGGCAGGCTTTCCTGCAGGTTTAGCGGCCTTTCCTGCAGGTTTAGCATGCTTTGAGGCTGAAGTAGCAGCTTTAGCTGCTGCAGGTTTAGCCTTGGCTGGCTGCTCTTCATCTTCAGAGGAGGAGTCGGAGCTGCTCTCTGCTGCAGGAGTAGCCTTTGCTACCGGAGTAGCCTTCTTTGAAGCTGGTGTTGCAGGCTTAGCTGCTGTTGGCTTGGCCTTGGCCGGTTCTTCATCTTCTGATGAGGAGTCGGAGTCAGAGCTGCTTTCTGCTGCAGCAGCAGGCTTAGCTGCAGGGGTGGAACTCTTTGAAGCTGGCTTAGCTGCTGCTGGTTTAGTCTTAGCAGGCTCTTCTTCATCTTCAGACGAAGAGTCAGACTCTGAACTGCTCTCTGCTGCTGCAGGGGGCTTTGCTGCAGGGGGCTTTGCTGCAGGGGGCTTTGCTGCAGGGGGCTTTGCTGCAGGGGGCTTTGCTGCAGGCTTTGAAGTTGGTGTAGCCGTTTTAGCAGGCTTGGCTTTCACTGGCTCTTCCTCATCCTCAGAGGAGTCCTCTGAATCAGAGCTGGTCTCTGCTGCCTTGGCTTGGGGTTTAGATGCTCCAGAAGCTGCGGATGGGGTTGCGGTTTTTGTGGGAGGCTTTGCTGGGGCCTCATCTTCAGAGCTGCTATCTGAATCTGGAAAGCAAGATCAATGCTGTCATGAAGATTTGCAAACAATATAGGGTTAATAACAGAAATTATATTAGGTCATATTTAACAACTTCTGAAGCTCAAATACCCAAAATGTGCATCTCCTACCTGAGCTCGAGGACTCGTCTTTCTGAGCTGGCGTAGTCTTGGCAGGTGCAGCTTTGGTTGGGGGTTTCTTTGCTGCCTCCTCCTCCTCTGAACTGGAGTCCTCCTCGGAGGATTCATCTTTAGTGGACTTAGCTGGAGCCGCTTTAGCAGGAGTCACCTTTGTTGCAGGTTTCTTCACCTCTTTAGCTGGAGAAGGTTTGACTGGGGCTCCTTTACCTGCAGGCTTCTTGGCCGTCTCCTCTTCTGAGCTGGAATCTAGAAAGATGAGAGACATTTACAAACATTCACTGTCACAAACTGATCATCATTTTAAGATGGGAAATGGGCGAGTGACGTTTGTGATCCATACCAGAGCTCTCTGAGCTGGACTCCTGCTTCTTTGCAGCAGGTTTGGACGCTCCAGGTTTGGCTGCAGGTGACTTTACGGGGGCTGGTTTTGCTGTGCAAGTTAAAATGCTGTTAGACATTTAACAATAAACACCAAGAAGTCAAGGTGGGGAAAAAATAAAAAGGAACCCACTTACCTGCCACCTTTTTGTCGTCATCACTGCTGTCATCACTGCTGTCTGAAGAGTCGCTGTCCTTGGCCTTGCTTGCTGCTGGTGCAGCAGGAGCTTTGTGGATTGAAGCAGGAGGTGGTACAGCACTGTATGCTCCTAGAAAGACAAATGTAGATCGTCAGCATCAAAAACAAATACAAACATATTTTAATAAATAATTTCCCTTAGGGATCAATAAAGTAATCTGATTCTGATAATCACAGATCATTCCAGAGATGACCAAGTGAACAGCTCTGGGTATAATTCAGTCAGAGCAGACTGGTGTTATGATCATGATATGGACAAAACTGGACTGTTGTAATTAATGTGAACTCAATCTCACTTATTTTTTCATATAGCTGTCGAACTTACGCACATCAGTAATAGGCTAAAAAGACTTGATTGGGATTCACTTCTCAGGTTTGTCGCTGATGCAAGTGTGCCTCACATCTTTCCAAACCAGACTTTTGTTACTGTGCAGCTTGTATAGTTGTAAGAAAGCATGAAAACACACCTGCTTTGGGTTTTTTGCTGGGAGGAGCCTCATCCTCTGATGAAGAGTCTTCACTACTTGACTCAGCAGCAGCTTTATTTACTGGGGCTGGTTTGACTGGAGCTGGTTTGACTGGAGCCTGACAGAACACATGGAAATATGCTGTTAATATCTGCTGCATGCATTTATCCGCTACACACCACACTTGGCTGAGTGTGAGACAATCAACAACACATAACAACATAAAGAAGGCCTTGTGTACCTTGGCTGGCTTCTCATCTTCAGAATCTGAGGAGCTGTCTTCGCTGCTGCTGCTCTCCTTCTTCTTTTGAGCTGCACCTTTGGCAGCAACAGCTGCTTTAGGTGTTGTGACTGCACCAGCCTTGGGTTCTGTTATTCAGAAACGCATACAGTAAATTAAATAACCCAAGATTTTTCCCCAATCTTAACTTAAACAAATTACTCAATATAGACTTACTTTGTGCAGGAGCTTTGGCGGTTTGTTCTTCCTCAGAGTCAGACTCTTCACTGCTGGAGCTGCTATCCTTTTTCCTTGTGCTACCTGCAGCAGCAGGAGGTTGTTTCACAGGTGCCTACAAACAGACACTACATTTTAATAAAAGGATAACGGGCAAGGTAATGTAGCAATAACAGGCTATCATGAGAATGCCTGATTCTGATGCTTCCTTCTACCTTTGCAGCAGGCTTTGCAGGAGCTTTGTCCTCCTCAGAGTCACTAGAGTCTTCACTGCTGCTGGATGCAGCTTTAGTAGCTGCTGCTTTAGCAGGCCCCTTTTTGGCTGCTAAAATGTAGAATGAGGAAAAATGTAATATCACAGCGTTTCAGAATGCACATTACTAGCAGAATTCAGCCAACCCTTTCAGTTATCCATATCAAATATGAAGGTTATACCTGCAGGAGCTACTTTAGTTTGTTTTGCGCCAGCCTCTTCATCCTCACTGCTTGACTCTTCACTGCTGGAGCTCTCAGTGCTGGGTTTTGCCTTCTTGGCTGACGGTCCCGTCCAGTTCGGAGGCACCTTTCGTTTTTTGGCTTCGGGAGATCTATTTAAAATAGAGTTTCAATGATACAGCCCATAATTATATTAATACACAGTATGTAACACCACCCTATATTAATGTTAAAAAGAAAACTTCAGCGGGATAAAAGGCACTCCCTTTCCCAGAGTAGAAAGATATGCAAATAATAATGCTTTAGTCGTTAGCCTGCATACCAAAGTGTCCTTGGGCAAAAAACTGAACACTGAGTTAGTGAGAGACTGGTTGAATCCCTCCACTCTGCATGGTAAACTATTCTTTGGCATGTTGAATAAAATGCTTTGAACATTCAAGTAGAATAGTACAGTGCTATATAAGAACCATTTCATTTCCCATTTGTCTAAACAAAAAGCGCTTCAAATTTGTAAAACAACAAAAGGGTTGTGTTTATATTGTATTAGATTTTTCTCTGATAATCCTCAACTCAACAGACCCTTGGACACTAGGAGAGCAGCAGTGGAATTTCTATTGTACCAATACATTTTTAAAGGAACATACTTATCGACACAGAAAGTCAGCTTGGTCATGCGTTTCATATTTTTATTTGAAAAACCCTTCTCGGATAAAAATAAATAAATATTAATAAGCAACTCACTTCACCCAGAAGTTGTAGATATTGACGAGTCTCTCCTCATTCTGATCTTGCGGAGCCTGTAGAGAAACACGTGAAGTAGTAAGTTAATAATTCCCTTGCAGCACTTTGAATTTGTGACTAAAACTCCACAAATCATAATTTAAAAAGTATAAACACGCTGCAGTATTTACACTTTAACGCACTGAGACCGTTAATTAGCCCAAAAGCAGGTTGCAGCTGATACACGTGCTAACTTCACCGGCTCGGTAACCTGCACGTATTTACCCCTCGTGCCGCCTGGACCTAACGTCTAATACCCGACGACAGGACGTGTCCGTCACACACCGCCACACAGCGTAGGCTACTCACCACTTTAGTCTTTTTCAAGAACTCCTGAGCCGCTTTGGTGAACTTGTTCTCCACCAGAAACGAGTACACGCACTTGAAAAGATCACTCGGTACCGACTTCTCCGCCGCCATCTTCAACACGTTCTTCTGGAAAAGGAAGTGACGGAATCAGGCACTTGTGAGCAGACGCTTGGTGTCGACGTATCCACGCTTCAGTAAAAAAATAAATACCAGTTTCTAGAGATTTCCAAATGTCAGAAAACTAAATAAAACACAATTCCACTGACTAATTGTGATTTTAAAAATTCTTTAAAAAACTTTACAAATATTTCGGGTAGCTCTCACGTGACTAATTTCCTAAAACAATACGAGTAAAATATGTGGGTATGCTAAATAAGACGCGATTTTTTGTTATTGAAATACACTTATTTATTTAGATTTAACGCCACATTTGAAAAAAATAAATGACTCCTATTTTTTATATTTACTAAGCTTTGTTGCCCACGAAGGCGCACGCTTTATGCGTCATCACTAAAGACCTTTCGTGCCTGCCCCTCGTGTCATAACATGTCGCCTTTCAACTGAGCAGTGTGGCAATGACAGCCCAGTTCTAGCTGAATTAAACGTGTGAGTCGGGTATTACTAAGCTGCAGCCATGCCTCGGTACGAGCTGGCCCTGATCCTGAAACAGATGCAGCGGCCGGAGACGGCGGCAGCTCTGCGAAGGACGGTGGAGACGTTAATGGAGCGGGGCGCCTTGGTGAGAGACCTGGAGAACTTGGGAGAAAGACAGCTGCCCTACAGAATGACCAAACACAACCAGAGGCACAGCCGAGGGACTTACTTTCTGGTGGATTTCTACGCAGCTCCCAGCATGCTCGCTGGCGTACTGGATCACCTGCACCGTGATGTGGATGTTGTGAGGCCCACTCTGCTGAAGAAAGACGCCCAGGTCCCCAACAGTAACTGCTGCGGACCCCAGAAGTGATTAAATGTAAGGCTTAATGTAAGTGAAACAAAGTGCTGTTTTATCACCACAGCTGTCTGTTACATGCGTGTATTTTTGGGCTGTAGTAAAATATGAAATACTCTGCTTTATCAGCCACTTAACTCCATTAGAGAAATGGCAAATCAGAAGCACAGTTGAGTAGTTACAGTAGTGAAGACTTATCAGCGGTTTTTTGAAGAAAATCGCTTACACACACACACACACACACACACACACACAGAGAGAGAGAGAGAGACAGTGTATGAGAACAAACCTCATGCATGTAATAAAGTGTTTTAGCACTGATGATTAATTCGACCTTTAAATAGCCCAGACAGAAAGGAATACCGCTGTTTATTTGCGGGGGAAAGTCACTTCTGTGATCCTGGATATCAGGGAACAAGCAACCGAATACAACCTCTAGTAACTGATTTAAAGCATTTTAAACACATAAGAAAAGAAAAAAAAACAGACAATGTGTCTGTGAAGGTTCTCAGTCATCCGTCTGGACTTCTTTAAGTTTTCTTGAAGATGTTTCGCCCTTCATCTGAGAAGCTTCTTCAGTTCTAAGTGCAATTGGTGGAGAGTCTTGGATTTTAAGCCCTATGGGAGTGTCCCCAAGAGTGTCATGGACCCCCTAATGATCCTCTACCTAATCGCATGAGCCAAGGTGTGAAAACGGGTGTTGGTAACAATCAGCCAAGGCTTCACCCTATCATGTGATTTTCTGAGGTCAAAAGGCCCAGGATGTGAGTGGGCTTTAAGGCGTCTGGAAAGGGATCTCAAAACTGGATGGCAGACAGTTGGTGTTGTAAGCCATGGGCTCTGTTCAAAGAGGGTCGTTCACAGTGGACATTAGGGGATCCATGTCACTCTTAGGGGGACACTCCCATAGGACTTAAATATGGGACTTTCCACCATTTGACATTAGAAGTGAAAAAGCTTCTTGAATGAGAGGTGAAACGTTTTCAAGCAACTTTAAGAAGTCCAGACGCTGTTCTATCCAAGCTCCTTAGACTACGATAACCTGGATGACTGAGAACCTTCACAGACATACCAACCTCAAAACTGGATTATAGATGGCAGACAGTTAGTTTTGTAAGCCCTGCTCATGTTCACAGTGGACATAGATGGCTTCTTTCACTCCTCTTTCAAACCATCTGTCTTCTCTGTCCAAAGCATTCCTCGCTGCACTGTACAGCATACACCACGTCCACGTTGTTAAGTTTCTGTTTGGTAGTTTTGTCTTTGAGATGAACCAGTTTTTGTCTGAGTGCGTGGCTGGGTCTGAAGTGCACTGGGATCTCGTGCTTGGAGAAGACTCCTGAGTTTCTCTGATAAACCTGCTACATAAGAGATGACAGTATTGTTCCGTTTGTCCTTCTGATTCTCCCTAGTTGGTGTCTGACCTTCTTTTCTGTGCATCATTGCTGCACAGGGACAATAATTAGAAAAAACAAACTCCCCCATGTGGTTACAACAGATGGTTAAGTCCATTTGGTTGTAAACTCTGTACCTAAACCAGCTCCACCCTCAGCCTCCTCGCTTGCTCATACCAGAAAGGAATATGATATAGTGTGATAATGTATTAAAACAAATTAACCAAATTCATTAAACCAGTTGTTTGCTTTATAGCTTTAGTGACTGCAAACTAACTTATTGTGAAAATGAGGCAGGAGTGTAAAAATGTGAATGAATATTACAAAAGTATTTCAGTTGTATGTTTGTGGACATGACCATCACACATGAAGTAGCCAAACACAAAGATAATCCTCTAAATAAATGATCAGTTCATTAGTCACCATCCCTGTAATATGTGAGTGTATTACTTTACTACAAGTTCATACATTTGGTTCATATAAGATTAGTTTGCACAAACACAGTGTCTGTATTTATTTCATTTGCTTGCTGATTTGTAAGGGAGGATCATTTTGCATGTCTGCAACAACAGCAGATCCACATGAGATCCTCCAGACAAACATAGATGTGTATTAAGCTCTAATAAGAGGTCCTGCCCTGAGTTTGTGCTGTCCTCCTCATCTACCCCCTACCTACAGATACAGCCCTGTCATCTCTCGCCTTGCCTGCAGGTGTCATTGTTGAAGCAATTTAATCAGGATTTAAATGATTGATTTTTTCCACAAAACCATTAAAGTAAAAATATTGAGCTCCCTCGTGCCTCTTGAAAACAGATAAGCACCCCCCCCTTCTCCTCCCTCCATCTGTTTGTCTGAAATGGATTTAACTAGACGTGTACGCATACACAATGATATTATAATAGCTTCACTACATATATTCCAACAGAAATATGTGTGATAGGACAATAATGCCTGATAATTACAGTTGACTGATAAATCTTTCAGCCTCTACTAATAAGTGTCTGTATTCTTTCGCCATGAAGTGATTAATTAAACTATTAGTTAAAATGCTATAATCAACAGGAACTGGGAGTAGGGGATTTTACTGTTAAGTCTGAACTGGCCTTTTAATACAGTCGTTGTGGTGCTCTAATATAACCACAATACTATGCATCAGTATTTGTGTTGATCGACGGTGGTGGTTGCTAGGGCTGTGCGATATGACCAGAATCTCATATCCCGATATAAATCACAAAAATGTAACATTTTCTGTAAATTCTGTGAATCTCGGGCAGCTCGACTTGCGAAGTGTTTCCAGCTGGGCGTCCTTTACCCGGAGTCGAGTGTTTTAACCGATGCATGAAACGATACATTTTTAGAGAGAAGTTGCAACAGCCGCTGTTTTCTTAGTATTTATTACACGGCGTGCTGCGGGGAAAAGCCTGTTCTAACGTTTGAGTCTAAGGTTTATTTTTTTAGCACCTGGCGGCTCTTTTTTAATTCTCATCTAATCTGCTCTTTCACGTGATTCGGTTTATTTTGAAAAGTCTCAACAGGATCTTGAGCTTTATTGTGAAAGGTTTATGTGGAACATAAACAAGCGGACACGCGAAGGTGTTACTGTCGCTGTTGCTAGCGACAACGCATAAAAACAGGCGCTTGTCCGTCAGTAGTGTGGTTATATTAAATATAAGAGAAAGAGAGAACTTTAAGAAATTAATATAGCCACTACAGTGACCATCAGAACGATGAAAAAATATTGCCGCAAACAGTTTATTTTGCGACACCACGAAACAAACAATGGCGTAAAATGAAGATGTTTTTATATCGTCATCCGATATATATCGTTATATCGAACAGCCCTAGTGGTTGCTTATCAGAGGCCGGTGTTGTTTTATTTCAGAGTGCTTTTGTTTAAACTGTAGAGAACAAAAGACACTATTGTTTGGGTTCTCTGATACATTTAGGAAGAAATAAGTACACTTCCTGTGCTGATAGCTCTTAGTTGTCATTATAGGTGAGCACTTCAGTTAACAAAGGTGAAAAATTGCTCCTGTCACAACACGTTAATATTGACTAGGGCTGTAACTCGGATAATTCCATTAAAAAACTTCCCCAGGAGAAATTATTTTCTCCGATGTTTCATTTAATCCATGTAAGAAGAGGTGTTTCTCCCACATTTGTGATTTAAAAACAGACCTGCATTAGAAACATATCTAGGATCACATGTGTGAATAAAAAGAATGACAATTAAAAAATATCTTTTTAAATAATACAGAAAAGCCACGGGGCGGAGCTGTTGCAGAGATGGTGCAATCAGGTGGCGTGAACGAAAACATGTTTCGAACGTTCAAAATAGCAGTGCTTGTTCGTGTAATCACCACAAAGGCCTTTACTGGGAAAAACTGTCCTTCATCAAAACCATTGATCAACAAGTGCAAACAGGAAGAAAAGTGAACTTTCTAGCTGCTCCCACCCACCGCAGTTTGCTTAACACAGCAACACATCTACAATAAAGCTATAGAAATTACAATAAAATTATATTTATGCAACTGAACTTTTGACTTCTTTGAGTCTCATACAATGTTTAAATAAGACAGCCTAATGGAGGTTGACTACAGCCATCCTTTCTGTCACACTGATGCCAACAGTAAGCAGGGGTGAGTCTAAAGGGGGGGCATGGGGTGTACTACACCCTATTTATTTCAAGGCTTATTTCAAGTCTACTAATTACATTCTATTAATGTTTTAAAATATAAAGCAGTCTTATTGGGCCAATAAAACTTGAACCACTTACCCAGTGCTGTTCGACTGGCCCGTGAATTA